TCAGAAGTTCTCTTTCGTTTATTCTCTTTGTTCTTACTTTCATAGCTTAGACATTTGTTCATAATCTTTACATGGTATCAGAGCATTTCAGTAAGACTATCCAGTGACACTACATCACGAGATGCTATAGCAATAATGGACTCAAATTCCATTGACAACCCAGCAAGAATCACACTTACTTGTTCTTGTTCAGGTACAACACAACCTGCAGCACTCAACAAATCACAGATTATCTTGATCTTGGCTAAATAATCACTCACAGTCAAGCCAGCTTTCCTCTGAGAGTGTAAACTGTGTCTAAGAGAAGAAATCTTGGCACTAAAATGAACTCCAAACAATCTTGAAACTGCATTCCAGATTGTACGAGCGGATGTGAGCCCTGTGAGATGTGGCAAAACCTCCATGCTAACCGTTGTCAACAACCATGAAGCAAACAACTTGTCTTTTTGCCTATGCACCACATACGCTGGATTTTCCTCAAGCTGTCCTGACTCATTTGTAACAAACTGAGATGGAGCAGAACTATCACCATAGACGTAAGCCAACAATCCATAGCCATCAATTATAAGGGTCACCTGATGCTTCCAAAGAAGGTATGTAGACTCGGTAAGCTTTATAACATCCTGTTTGGGTATATGTTGTATATTGGACATGACTGAAGAACCATATGACGTTGAGGTAACTGTGGTATTCACCGGAGAATGAACACCAGCTTGTTGCAAGTCCACCATCTTCAAGAACCTCCAAGAACCTCAAAGAATCCTCAAAGAAAAGAGGCAAACAGAAACTGCAGGACCGTTTTGGCGACTGATACCATGTAAAGATTATGAACAAATGTCTAAGCTATGAAAGTAAGAACAAAGAGAATAAACGAAAGAGAACTTCTGAAATTCATTATCTTTAAGAGTGTTTATAACAATTCTCAAGGAGAGTATTTATAGCTAGTACTATAGCTGAAACTGATGTAACTAATTTCACAACAAACTAACTACTTCAACTGATCAGTTGCAGTGAACCAATCCTTAGCTGCACAACCATCATGCACAGCAGTTGCACGTGTTGCATTCACATACACTAACATTCCCCTTGCAATCTTCAACTTCAAACCTTCTTCAAACTCAAAACTGATCTGCTCTTAAGTTGGTCCACCAGCAACCATTGTCTATGTTTGAAAAACAAAGGTGCTGATAAAGGTTTGATCAGCACATCAGCAACCTGCTCAACTGCATGAACTTCATGCACTTGTAGCTGTCCCATAGCCACCTGGGTATGAGCAAGGCAATGGTGAGCTGGTATGTAAGCTACACAAGGCGATTTATGGGCTGAAACAAGCACCGAGGGCATGGTTTGAGCGACTGAAGGCATACCTGGAATCTGAAGGTTTTTGCCTAGCCAAGTCGGATGCCTCACTTTATGTTCAAAAGACCTCGGATAGCTTGGTGTACTTACTGGTGTACGTTGATGATATCATCGTAACAGGGGATAAAGAGATGGTTGTTCAGAGTGTTATAGACAGACTGAATGCTCAGTTTTCGTTGAAGGATCTTGGACCATTGAGTTTTTTTTAGGAGTGGAAGTCAGTTATGAAGGTAGTGATGTTGTTTTAAGTCAACACAAGTATATTCAAGACCTTTTACAGAAGCATGGTTTTGGTGGAGTAAAGAGCCTTCCCACCCCTATGGTCTCTAACATCAAGCTGTCAGCCAAGGAGGGAACACCACTTGAAGATGTTGCACGATACAGAAGCATCGTAGGTGCCCTGTAGTACATTGTGATCACTCGACCTGATGTGGCGTTTGCTGTGAATAGGGTGTGTCAATTCATGTAAGCCCCACTGGATGTTCATTTTCTGGCAGTGAAGCGGATACTTCGTTACCTACAAGGCACTGTTGATTTTGGACTGCGTTTTACACCCTCCTCGAGAGTGGCGTTGACTGGCTTTGTAGATGCGAATTGGGGCTCGGATGTTGATGATAGACAGTCAACCTCAGGGTTCTGTATATACTTTTGTGGGAACCTGGTCTCGTGGAGCTCTCGCAAGCAACAGGTTGTTGCACGTTCGACTGCTGAGGCTGAATACAGAAGTGTGGCTTGTACAGCTACTGAGATGGTGTGGCTTCGTTCTTTGTTGGGGGAATTGCATGTAGTTTCACATGGCAAGGCTACGTTGTGGTGTGATAATACAAGTGCAGTTGCAGTATGTGCTAATCCCGTTCTGCATTCCAAGTTCAAACATGTTGAGCTAGACTTGTTTTTCGTTCGAGAAATTGTGGCTATGGGACAGCTACAAGTGCATGAAGTTCTTGCGGTTGAGCAGGTTGTTGATGTGCTGACCAAACCTTTATCAGCACCTTTGTTTTTCAAACACAGACAACGGTTGCTGGTGGTGCAACTTAAGAACATATCAATTTTGAGTTTGAAGAAGGTTTGAAGTTGAAGATTGCAAGGGGAATGTTAGTGTATGTGAATGCAACACGTGCAACTGCTGCGCATGATGGTTGTGCAGCTAAGGATTGGTTCACTGCAGCTGATCAGTTGAAGCAGTTAGTTTGTTGTGAAATTAGTTACATCAGTTTCAGCTATAGTACTAGCTATAAATACTCTCCTTAAGAATTGTTATATACACTCTTAAAGATAATGAATTTCAGAAGTTCTCTTTCGTTTATTCTCTTTGTTCTTACTTTCATAGCTTAGACATTTGTTCATAATCTTTACACGCAGAACGATTAGCAAAGAATTGCAGAACTTTATTCCACACATCAGCAGACGTTTCGGCATCAACAAACTGAGGGAGCAAATGGGCACTGATTGTATCTTGGACCAAGAACTCCTTGCATTCTTCATTAGGAACCACAACACCCTCTTCACCAACAACCGTTTCTGAAGGAGGCAACATCGTTCCAGTCAGCATACGCTTAAGGAGATAGCTTCTCACGGTAAACAACACTTGTTGCTTACAAAGAAGAAAATTCATTTCATCAAGAATCACGTTCACCCTTTTTGTTACTGAAAACTTTGATATTTTTTGAAGAAAACTCTACCGAAGCAACAGTTGAGCAAGCACTTTGATCCATTGAGAAGATAAAGGATACGAACAACTAAAGCTACACCTTTCTTAGAGACGAAACCCTAGGATACGAACAACGAATGATACCATCTTGAGAGAGAGCAAAGAGAGTAAGCTAAGAAAGTATAAAGAAATAATACAACTTTCATCGAAGAATACTTCTGGTACAAAAGGTTCATATAGACAGCGTTTACATGCAGTTATACTCGGGTAACAATCCTAACAAACAACTTAATTGCTACTTTGCTCCACGTGGAACACAGCTGTACTGTACAGCTTACTCCAATAATCCCGGAGTATAGTTGTCATGCTTTGTGCATAATACATTTGGATGCTATAAAATCCTAAATTAGTCAACTGCAAGTCTGCATCACGGTAAAGTAAACGAGATTCTCTAGAACTTTGTTGCCAAACGATATTTTGAAAAGGATGCATCAAAACGATATTTTGAATTTACCGGCCATATATGCATGTATGTCATACCAGGTCAGGAGTATCGTCATCTTACAAAAGTTTCGTCAGTTTCAAAAGCGTCAAAATATATGAATCATACGTACAAGATCATATATTATTTTCAAATAAGAAGACATGCATACAATGTTATGATCCACACATTAACGCCTATTTTTAAACCTAGTAATATAGACATTGAACCTTTGATTCGTTATTATTATGAATAATATTATCAATTATTGTTAAAAAAAAAGTTAACATGACACGGTAACGTTTATTCTTCTATGACTCTTTATTTTTTTCTTCTTCTCCATTGTCACATGTTTCACCTCAAACCATGCATGCTCTTTCTCCCCCCTTCTCACCAAAAATGGTACAACGACCCTTAGAAATAACCATGTGAGGCCAGGATTTGATGTTATTTTCAGTCGGCCATATCAAGCATCTACTGCAATATTGCCTTCTCTTCAAGAGCATGACATGCATAAGGAGCAATAGGGTCCACAAATTGTAAATAAATAAAGCATTGCAGCAATATCCATTTCTATAATGAAATGATATTGTAAGAAGTGGCAAAGAAATAATTGTAAATGGGACTAGAAAACATGTATGGTGTATGAAATAATTATTTTGGTGTTTATTTATTTTTTAGAGTATTTTGGTATCTAACGTGTTATTTTGGGATAAAAAAATTTATAATGTTTAACTAAATAATCATTTTAACATCTCTTTTCTAATTTTAATTATATAAATAAAATGATATTTTTACAAATTAAAACTATATTAAAAATTCATTTAGCAAATCTAAAGTCACAAACACAATCCAACTCACAAGATAAATAAATTTTTATTTATTAATAATAATTTAACATATATATATATATAACGTATTCAATTATTTTTGACATTAACAAAAAAATTAAAAATATAAAAAAATGTTATAACTTATCTTCAATAGTATGATTTGACTTAGTGATTAAGGTGTTCTTATTCATACTTAGAGTCTCCTATTCAAGTCTTTCCATTAACTTTTTCACTTCTTTTCTGTCGTTAACTACTTTAGCATATATGAAAAATATTGTGAAATATTACCTAGTAAGAGACTTGGCCATTAGCTCTCTCTCTCTTTGCCCTAGGTTTAAACTCCGCCTAATGCATTTATCACTCTCCACTTTACTTTTCTCAATAAAATGATGACATGTGTCATCATTTAACTAGAGATTAATTTTTTTAATTAAAATTAGAACCACGTCACTTCCGTTAAATACTAATAATTAGTGACTTGATTGACAACACTTAAATAATTAGGTGGTCTTAGTTATAATTAACCCTAAAAAATTTGGGAAAGTAAGAAAAATTTACAAACAGGCTAATTCCGGTAAGGCGGGGAGTTTTTAAGTGGGAAATGGGACTCGGTTTTTAAATTCTCTTTTAAACTCTTTACAGCGCCAATTCCTATGCCAAAAAAAAAACACTCCACCAATCACCTCTTCAATCAATCATCCCTCCAAAATATCGAAGATGCAATCCAAAATAAATTCCTTCTTCAAGCCTTCTTCTTCTTCTTCTTCTTCTTCTATGTTAACTGAGCGCTCGAATTCACCCCCACAGTTCTGCGGTGACGAGAACGATGAATTAGCCATCTGGGAGAAGACTCAGCACACCATTGTCAACACCTACACGCGTAGAGCTTCAGAATTTGAAAGGTATTTTTTTTATTCTGTCGAAAGAAGTAATAACATTTTCTGGGGTTTATGATTTTTTAAAGTTTTTCCCCCTTTGAAGGATTGACAATAAAGAAGAAGCAAGCGATGAGAAATCGGAAAAACCCATTTCAGGGAATATGTTATCAAGGGAAGAATGCGGTTCAAATGGGAGAAATCTGAAGAAGAAGAAGAGAAGTTATGCACAGTTCCATTTGGAGTTAGGTCAATCTAATTTTCTTCTCCATGACTGTTCAACTTGTGGGGTCAAGTATTCTCCAGGGGATGAAGCTGATGAAAAGAACCATACCGTTTTCCATAAGAATTTCACTCTTGGGATTCAATTCAAGGTACGCGTATATTTTTCCAAAAATTATATATATCCGCTTTCTGTAATTGAGAAATACTTCTAGCAAGTTCTACTATTTAATATAACAATAAAAAAGAGAGGGTTTTGAATCTTTTGATCCAAAGCTAGAATTTGAAGGATTGACAGTCGAATTTTTATTGTAGTCTTTTAACCGTGAACTTCGCTTTCCAGGGATGGAGAAATGAGAGGGTTGTTCATACACCCAATGGTGAACGTGGTCGAGTCATTTTGGTTTTGGATTCTGATCCTGTTGCTCAGAGGAATAAGGTCAATATTTTGGGGGTTTTGATTTATCATAAAGTTTACCTTTTATAATTTATTTAACTTGATGATTGTGGGGTTCTTCATTGCAACACTGCTTGTTTTAGCAGGTGCAAGAAGTTGTGAAGATGATGGAGATGGAGATGGAGCTTGGTGAGGGCTGGATTTTTCACAAGCTTTGCAGGGTGATCTGATTGCATTTTCTTATTGGCAATTCGGCACATTATGCATTATTTTTTTTAAAAGAAAATCTCTTTCATTTACCCCAATTGTATGTAAATGATTCTTTTATTGTTCCAAAAGTTCAGCATTTATTTGACTATGTTTAGTTTTTGTATAGTACTGTTTATATCTTTGTTGCTCTCATTTGATCTAATTCTGTCACCGTATTACAATCCAAATGGCTGCAAAGTTGAACAATTTCTAAACTCCAATCTTGGGATTTTTCATTTTTCTTCGTTTTCATCCTGCTGTTTACAGGTATACCTATTCATTTTGTCCCAACGGATTGCTGGATGTGTAGTTGCAGAATCAATAAAGGAAGCTTTTGAAGTCCTCTCGTGTTCGATCGGTGCAACGACAAAGCAAGCGAGGCCAAAATCTGGCAAGCTTCGGTTTGGGGACATTGTTTTACAGAGGGAAGTCATAAATATAGCACCTTCAGAGGTATCACACGAAAGCCGCAATGGAGCGATTCTATGTAAAAAGGAAGCGATGAGCGCTGTTTGTGGCATAAGAGCAATCTGGGTGACTCCAGACAACAGGAGAAAAGGCATTGCCACTCAAATGTTGGATGCAGTAAGGTAAAGGCTTGAGCTTTTTAGGTCATCCACTTTTGGGATTTTGGAGGTTGAATTGAAACCCCATTAAAATGCTGCAGGGAAAGCTTCTGTAGGGGACATGTTATTGAAAAAGCTGAATTGGCCTTTTCTGAACCAAGTTCAGATGGAGAAGCTTTGGCGGCCAACTATACAGGCACCACCTCTTTCTCGGTGTATAAAACTGGTAATTTGTGCGGCTAGATCATGTCAATTTCATTGTTTTAAGGGACAAAATCAGACAAAAAAAAGCATTTTCTCGTCGGAATCCATCACTCAAACCAATACATTTCTTGTTTTTGTACTCTAAAAACTGGAGGAGTGTCAACTATGCACACCATTTGCTTAACCAATTACCGATACGATTCCATTAACAATTTTTGTTGCAAGTTGCTATAATTTATACAAATTTAACAACCTCCACATCCCAAACTCACACGTTCTTGACGAAATTTCAAGCATATCCTAACTTAATCCCAGAAATTCTGGATATTATCCACCAGTTGTTTGCAAATTTGTATTCTCCACGTACAAAATAACCCAAAAAAATCATAATTGAAACAAAAAAATTTACACTAAGGTTATCTGTATTGATGTCGTTATATTGTTTTATTCATATTCTAAATTTTAAATATTATACATATATGTATATATATTCCTAAGTTAAAATTTTATATAAAATACATATTAATACGATGATAAGTTGTTTTAAATTAGTAAAATTGGTTCAACAGAGTTGTACTTTAAAAACAATTTAATTAAAATTTAAAAATATATATTCATATTTTAAAATAATTAGTTCCAATGATAATTATTTATTAATACAAAAATTACCTTATAATTTTTTTTTATTTTATACTTATAATTTTTACTTTCGTAAATGTTTTTTGTCATCGTATTTAGATATACTAAATTCAATTAAATATTTTAAAAAATATATATCATATAAAAATTATTAATAAAATAAAATAAATAAGTAATTATAAATGGCAAGGTAATATTTATAAGTTATTTATTTAAATCTTAAATAATATTTCATTTTTATTTAAAAATGATATAAAAAACAAATATATAAGGTAAATGTAAATATACATAGATGAACACATGACATGTTAGGAAAATGAATTTATAAAATTTTCATAAAAACAACGCTCTCACCTGCCTTCGGTTCTTCATTTTAAATATATCTCAATTGATGTATAAGAATTAATTTAAATTATTAAAATATTTAGTAATGTATTGCGTAAATTAATATTGTTGAAATAAATAAAAACAAATTAAAGTTTTAACAAAATAATGCTTAAATTATTTAATATCAAAAGGAAAGTCCTATATATTTGCGAAAGGGTACTTTGAGCCGAAAAACATTACCCAACTGACAAGGGCAATTTCGTCAAGAGAGACTTTGTAATTTAGTGCTTGGTTTCGAGTGACCGACCCCTTCATCTTGATTTCCTTGAGCTCCAAGAATGTTTGCAAATGAAAAGAGTACCCAATACACCTCTTCCCCTTCGCCTTTTTCCAAAACTACCCTCACCGCCTTCTTTTAATTTACCTTTTTGTACTTAAACCCCCTCCAAAAGCTTCTCTTTTTTCTTTTACATATAAACCCATCTTCTCTTCCCCTCATCACTGTTCTCGGTTTCCATTCCATTCTTCTTTCGCTCATATTTGCTTCGGAGCTGACGTTATCAACATGGTCGACGCCGCCTCCGGTGTCATCTTGGGTGGTGCAGGAAGAGAGGTTCCGTTTCCCATCGTTTTCTTCGATGGAGAGTGTGAAACCGGCATAGGGGAAGTCGTTGTTCATCCAACCATGGATTTCAAGGCTTTCCAATCGATTCTCAGCCGTAAGATCGGGATATCACCTCACCAATTCACTGTCTACATCACGGCTAGCAACAATCCGCGCAACCGCGTCCCCGTAACCGGGAAGGTAAATTTCTCGGCGGTTTCTCGCGAAAAGGACTGTTTCTTCCTCGTCGTATTGAAAAGATCGCGGCGGTCAAGGACAAGAAGGGGAAAGAAGGCGGAATCGTCTCCTGCGATGAAGAAGGAACCGCCGGCGAACGCCATGTTGTTGAGGCGGGGCGATGGCGGAGGCAATAATTCGATGGAGACGAGGATGTTTACGGGATTGGATGAATTCGAGAGGAGGGTAAGGGATTTGCAGATTGAGAAAGAGAGATATTTGGTGAATTGGGGAAGTGCGAATCTGAGAATTGCGAGGGAATCGAAAAGCTTGGTTTGTGAAGAGTGCGAGAACGCCAAGGATGTCGGATTCCATTGGTGCGTTTACGACGCCGTTACTTTTGGGTTCCGGTCTCATGCGGGGCCGATTGCCCGACCCGGAAAAGGCCCCGATTACTAAAAGTAGGCTTTTTTTGGGGTCATTTGTCCCCGAGGAAGAGAGGGGACTGTTTGGCCATAACTTGAAAAACCATAGTTAATTAAGAGTTGGAATTGTTTATGGATTGAGGATGAAGAACATCGTGTTCCCATGAAATACAAAATCTTCATAAATTATAGGCTTCTTTTGCTTTATTTGTGTTCTAAACAGGGAGACGCTCCCTTTAGCAAATTAATGGAGCAATGGATATTATTATCTTCTCATCATTTTTTAATATTTCCTTTCTATTCAATAATATTATATTTAAAATATATTTTAATTCTATTTAGGTGTTTACATATTTTCAATTAATATAAGTCGAATATTAAATATTTCTCCATCAAATAGGCTTTAAAAAAGTTTATTAAGCAACCGACGTGTTTTGTGTATTTTTTTTAAATTTTTTAAAATAAAATTATAATTTTAATAAAATCATTTCTTTTCCCCTCTTCACGTCCTCCCTTTCCTCCAACAGCCTCCCTTCTCTTTGGCACGCAGGAATCCTCCTTCCTTTTTCCTTCTTCGTCGTCTCCCCCTTCTGAACCATCTTAATATTGGAATAATTAAGTTCCACCTAAACCTTGTCTATTAAATGTAAAGTTAGAGATTTATAGATTTAAAATTTAGGATGATGGTAAGAACGATGATCAGTTAGTTAGTAGACGGTACAAAAATGGTAAATGAAGATAATAGATAACTATAAAATATTTATAATGACCGGGAAAAAAAATTAAATGCCTAAAAAAAGGATTTAAATGTTTTTTTATTAAACTTTTCAGTTTTGATATTGTTTTTTTTCCATTAATGATATCTTATCAAATTTAATTTTTTAGGATATAGATGAGTTTTTGAGATGAGAATTGTGATTTACATTTTATTATAAAGTAATAAAATAACTTCTTGAGTGTTTCAATTCAAACATGGCCTGATTTAGCAAACCGTGTGAACCAAAAGGAAATTAAGATGATTCACTTTTCTAATTCAGATATTGGGTGATTAAAAGAGTTTTAATAATTTCGTAAGATGATTTTATTCTCACATCATCATAAAAATTTAAATGAAATATGAAGGATGGTTTTCAATATATACACAAATGTGAATATTTTTAATTTTTTAATATAAATAACTAAAAGGTGCATTAATACTTAATACAATACACAATTTTCTTTTCTTTTTTTTTAGATCTAATAATAAAAAAATTTGAAATGCAATTATAATGCATAAATTATCTATAAATTTTAAATTAAAAATAATTTTATTTTAAAGTATTCGAATATATCATCTTCTGAATATAATAATAATAATGTTTAATAAATAATTTAATATAAATTTCACCTCTTATATTTTAAAGTATTCAAACATAAATTTGTCCATCATCTGGATTTCATTTTTATTGATCGTTCTTTTATTGAAGTTGCAATAATATTCTTAAATTTCAGTATTTAAATTATCTAAAATCGATTGGCTGTCAACTGTCCTAATACTCTTATTGATTAAATAATTGAGCATTGGGCATGACTAGATCCGAATAACAATTCTAAATTATTTGTCACTTAATGAATTATACGTAAAACCTGAATTGACCAATTACTATTCGTTCCTAACATAAAATAGGATAGAGTGTGTGGAAACGAACCAGAAGTAGACGTCCTTAAAGGTTAATTATAATTTACTTTAGTGGTTTTAAGTGGAACTTGTGGATCGATCTTCACTTACCACAGTTAGGATTTATCTTGACCATTCATTAGCAATTGAAAAATCTCTAAAGCTTGTATATCCTTCCCACTCATTGATTTTTTTTTATCTTTTTAAAAAAGATTAAAGTTGTTATTGTCGAAATTATTTTGTCTTGATTTGAATGTGTTGAAATTTTAGAGAGTTTATCACGTGATTGGATTTGTTATTATTGGTTTTGTATTAAGTACCACCGAATACCCATTAATACTTGCAAAATTAAATTTGAGAGTCGGATATATGTGAGGAATATTGAAGTATCCGACGACGCTCAAAATTGAAAGATCGTTGTCAAAACAAAAATGACAATAGTTAAGTGATCATAGTTATAATTTACCTAAATAAAAATGAGAGTAAAGTACACAAATGAACCATCGACTATAGGACGCTTCTTTATTGAGTTTCAAGTTTTAAAAGTTACGAAATTATCATTTGAGTATATGACATTGCTTTGTCGAGTCTTCCAACAATTAAAAGTTACAAAATGATCACTCGATTATTCATATGTTCCAAACTTATCTTTTCTGTTAAAAAATTAGCGACGTTAATCGATTAGCTAAGATATGATAAAATCTGATCCCATAACTTTTTGAATTGTATTTTATGGATTGACTCTCCATTTACATTAGTCGGTGAACCAATGCTTGAAACATTAGTGCTTAAAAGCAACAATAGTGCCAGTAAACATCATTAAAGTATTATTTTATCATATTTCAGTCAACATGTTAATGTCCAGCTCAGATGATCATCAATTTTTTAACGAAAAATGACGAGTTTGAAACATATGAATAGTCAGTGACCATTTTGTAGCTTTTAAGAGTCGAGAGATTAAAAAGATATCATCCTATAGTCATAAGACCATTTTATAACTTTTAATAGTCGATGAACTCAACAAATCAATGCGCTATAATCAATGAACCATTTGTATACTTTACCCTAAAAATTATATTGGAAGTATAACATAAATGCAAAGTTTAAATAGAAAAAAAAATGAAAATATTAAAAGAATCAAATAAGAAGCTTCTTTCTTGTGAAACCATGGAAAGCATTTTCTTAACAATGGCAACCAACATCCATCCCAAAACTTGGTTGCAATAAATAGAACATAGTGTGACCGTATTCATTTCATGCATGAGCAATAGTTTACTGACGTGGAATAAACAATTTAAATCTTACAAATGGGCCCCGACGCCAGTCCCGTCTTTCCTTGCTTCATAGCTACTACATATTTTGTCGTGGAACTCAACGAGGAAAACCGGAAAAAAGCGATACGTCAACTGCCACTCAAAATCAAAATCTCTTTATTTTTAAAATTAAAATAAATGTATGATTAATTTTCAAAATTAAAGCTTTCGTCTGAAATCAAATCACTCCCCACCAGAAAAAAAAGAAAGATCGTCGGCCATCGTGAAAGGAAATGGGGGTGCCGCAGGCAATGGATGCATTGCGGGGGAAAGCAGCGCTGGTAAGAGAGTCGTTGCAGAAGAGCCAAACCATAACCGAAAGCATGGTCTCCATTCTCGGTTCTTTCGATCACCGTCTCTCCTCTCTTGAGACCGCCATGCGCCCAACTCAGGTTTCTCTTCTCTTCATTTCCTTTTTTTCCTCCTCCTTAATTTTGTTTGATGGAGGAATTAAGAGATCTTCCTTTCTCGTGTTAATTGAGAGATTTTTTAAAAGTTTTGGCTTGCGTTTTGATTTTCTTTCTCGGTTTTACGTAGATACGAACGCATTCGATCAGGAGAGCGCATGACAATATTGATAAGACATTGAAAGCAGCTGAAGCTATTTTGACGCGATTTGATCTCACGCGCAAGGTTTTTTCATCGCTGATTTGTTTATAGTATTAATAAAATAAGCCTAATTATTATCTGTTTATTGGATCTATTTGGTGTTCACGATATAGATAATTTCATTCTGGAAAGGAAGAATAATCGCTTTGAGCTAGAAGACAAATTCTAAATTTAAACGTGATGAATAATTTCGTATTATTCTGCGGCCAAACACAAGTTGATTTTCAAATTTAGTTTTTATTCTCTCGATTATACCATATAATTTGGAAATGAGATGCTGTTTGGATTGTAAATGCCTGTTGTTTGTACTAATTTATATGTGCTAAAGGCAGAGGCAAAGATTCTGAGAGGCCCACACGAGGATCTTCAGAGCTATCTTGAAGCAATTGATCAGCTGAGAAGCAACATTCAGTATTTCACTAACCACAAAAGTTTTAAAAGTACAGCCGGTGTACTTACCCATGCCAATAATTTGCTGACAAAAGCTATCTCTAAATTAGAAGATGAGTTTAGAAATCTATTAACAAACTACAGGTTGGTTTTAAAATTATACTGCATTATGTTTGGGTGATTATCTTATAATGAGAAATGTTAAAAGTGTTCTACACGTTGTTTGAACTTCAGCAAGGCGGTGGAACCTGAATGCCTTTTCGATGGCCTGCCAGATTCGTTGCGACCGTCAGCATCACTTGCAAAGCGAGGTGATAACAAGAAAGATTCTGACAACCAAAAGAACTTAGAAAATGCTGTTTACACACCTCCTACTCTTATACCTCCCAGGGTTCTACCTTTGCTGCGTAATTTATCCCAACAAATGGTTCAAGCCGGCCACCAGCAACAGTTGTTCAGGATTTACAGGTGACACCTTTTCTTCTTGATCTGATGCTATGATTTATATGTTTCTTCTCTTAGTGATTATAGCTTTCTGAACTTCTTGACTAATTGGCTTCGGAATTCATATTTGTAGTGAGGAATATCTGAAGTATTATATTATTAACTCTTCTCTTCTGGTCCAATTTATGCTTACTCCAAGAAGGGAGAGCAGAGTCCAAAGTGTATAATCTTAGATTTAAAAAAAAATTATATGGTCTTGGTACCATTTGGTGCTGGCAAGTAGCCAAGTAATGATACATCGACCAAATAATGCTGCTGAGTGAGAGCTTTTACTCGCCAATAATGATTCATATTTTGTAGTCATCTGTGCAGATCTCAAAGACTGTAGTTTTAGGGATCTATTTCAATCATTGATGTTGGTATTTTTCAATACATATAACAGATATATCTGCACTTTTAACTTTGCACTAATGTATGCATAAGTTCCCTGTAGAAACTCTAGAACTTGGCTTGATAAAATTAACTTATGAAAAACGTTTCTTATTAGAGTTTTGCACATATGGTGAATCTTCTTCTTCTTTAATTGGAAAACATTTTGAGTTTTTTTTCGGGTTTCCCCTTATGCTTCTCTAGAGTCTTGAATAATTGGTGCCAATGATATGATATTTCTAAATGCTAGGGATACTCGTGCTTCAGTCTTGGAACAGAGCCTGAGGAAATTGGGTGTAGAGAGACTTAGTAAAGATGATGTCCAGAAAATGCAGTGGGAGGTTTTAGAGGCTAAGATTGGGAATTGGATACATTACATGCGTATTGCTGTAAGGGTTCTATTGAAATTCTGCTACAATGGTAGCCTTCTACTTCTACTTCTGTTCTCCAACCACTATCAAAATAATATTTGACACAGGTCAAACTGCTCTTTGCTGGGGAAAAAAAACTCTGTGATCAAATACTTGAGGGCATTGATTCTTTTCGGGATCAATGTTTTGCTGAAATCACTGCAAACAGTGTATCTGTACTCCTTAGTTTTGGAGAGGCTATTGCCAAAAGCAAGAGATCACCTGAAAAGTTATTTGTTCTTCTGGATATGTATGAGATAATGAGAGAACTACAGTCAGAGGTATCACTAATTTTTCTTGTAGCATAACCTTTACAATATGATGTAATTTTTTTTCTTTGAAACAATGTTAGTTGTTTCCTTTTATCTGAGATAATCATCTCATTGTTTTTGTTTCTCATTAGATACATGAAAAAGACACCATGATTACTTTATTTTCTTTTTTGTTCTTAATCCATTCAGTTCATGCATAAATTGAAACTTCTGAGTTTGAAGAAGGTTTAGATTAGATGTGATTTTTTTAATACATTATTGTGAACGTGTATTTATGTAGTTAACTTCCAAGATTTTTTATGCATTAAAATGGAAATCATTCAGTGAAAAACAGTATCTCTGTAGTGATTAAGTAGGACCGCCTAATTGGTTAACTATGCACTTCGATAAAACTACAGCATGCATTATAGAGACAAATGCATATTGATTCACACGACTTTCTAGGATGACACTATTTCTTACTTCCCTTCTCTCTATTTCTGGGGGCATGTGGACAGATTGATAATCTCTTTGGAAGTAAATGTTGCGCTGAAATGCGGGAATCTGCTCAAACTTTGACAAAGCGGCTAGCTCAGACAGCACAAGAGACCTTTGGCGATTTTGAGGAAGCAGTAGCGAAAGATGCAACAAAAACTGCAGTTCTTGATGGAACTGTCCATCCTTTGACTAGCTATGTGATAAATTACGTGAAGTTTCTATTCGAGTAAGTTGTGTTTCTTCCACTTTTATCTGCTGCCAGATTTCAGTTATAATTGCTGTATCGCATCTATATTTGGATTGTATTATACAAGTAATATTTGCATGGTCAATCACTTTGATTTTGTGACACCAATCTTGCTTGCTACGTTTAATGGGACATATTCTAATATCAGATATTGGTACTCCTATTCATTTTTTTGCGGTATATGTTGGAAAGGAACACCCCCCCCCCCCCCATAAAAAAAAATCACACACCAAAAAGAAAAAGTGAACATTAAACATCTGATTGTGGTTGTTGAGTGATGCAGTTACAAAACAACACTGGAGCAACTTTTTCAGGAGTTTGAGGGGGGTGATCCTGAAGGTCAGTTGAAGATTTTAACTAAAAGGATTATGGAAGCCCTACAGAATAACCTTGATGGGAAATCCAAGCAGTACAAGGACCCTGCATTGACACAACTATTTCTTATGAACAACATGCACTACATAGTGAGATCTGTGCGAAGGTGTGTTGTTTTGTTGGAACGATTCACAATACACACTTGTATGCCTCTTTAATATTCCATTTACAGGTCAGAAGCCAAGGATTTGTTGGGAGATGATTGGGTTCAAATTCACCGACGGATAGTTCAGCAGCATGCAAATCAGTATAAAAGGATTTCTTGGGCAAAGGTTCTGTTTGCCTGACTTACCATGCATTCGTATGGTTAAAATAACCATGCTAAGTGACTCTCTTTTAGTCCTGCAGGTCATTCAATGTGTCACCATTCAAGGGGTTGCTCCTCCAGGTGGTGCTGGAATACTGGGAGGCGACTCTGGCAGTGGAATTTCAAAAGCAATGGTGAAAGACAGGTTTAAGAATTTCAACGTCCAGTTTGAGGATCTTCATATGAGGCAGTGTCAATGGAATGTTCCAGACAGTGAATTGCGCGAATCGTTGAGGCTAGCTGTTGCCGAAGTACTCTTGCCGGCCTATAGATCTTTCCACAAACGTTTCGGGCAGGCTCTCTTTATACTTTTGCTCACCCTAAATCTTATCTTCTAAACAAAATTCTGTTGTTTTAATTTCTTGTGCTTCAATGAACAATTCAGGCCCATGGTTGACAACACGAAGGGCCCTAATAAGTACATTAAATACAAGCCCGAGGACCTTGAACGAATGCTTGGTGAGTTCTTTGAAGGTAAGACATGCGCCGAACAAAAGCGATAAAAAAATGTTGGTGAGAATCTGTTGAGAAGTTTAGATACTGATGAAATGCAGCAGCTTTCAACTAATCATTGTACAATGATGAGGTAAAAATAACAGGGTAATGATGTGTACTTTTTCTGCAAGTCTTGCTTTGTTCTTCAGTCAATTTTGTACAGTTTCAGTTTAATAATTTATTTTATAAATGTTCACATATTTATGTTATATTCTTATTATTTTTCAAGTGTATTTTTATTTTTATATTGTTTTGTACCGTGTCTAATTTATTTCATAAATGATATGATTTTTTTATTGTGATTCAATTTTTCAAGAAAAAATTATACTAGTGTTGAAATTCGTTTGTATTTTACAAAATTTATTTTACAGGTCCAATTTAAATATATGTTTTTCTGTTAATGGCTTGTTTACACTCGTTATATTTTCTTTATAAGGATTCAATTTTAACTTATTTTTATTTCTTAAGTTTTTTTTTTCGGAAACATTTTTTTAAAAGTTGGATTATTGCACCTTTTTTTATTATAAATTATATCAATATATATATAACATTAATGTAACTTTCTGAAACGTGGGTTTTCTTAATCCTTTGACTGTCACGCTTGCTTAATGGAGGACCGGATCGAGGGAGTACGATCGTACATTATAAAATTTTAATATAAATTTACATTTCTGATATAAATTTCTGCGTAAGTCTCTAACGGAGGGTAGTTAGGTACCAAACGTACTCTAATTATAACAATTACTTCAAGCAATGAATATGTTTTGAGCTTAATTAATTAACCAAATACACAAGCTTCGGTGTTTATGGACTGCACTGATTAGGCACCAAATGTACCAAAGCCTCGTATCATTAGCATACAGAAAACCTCATTTTGAACCGAATCTTCTATTTTTAACGAAAAAAGAATATGAATAAAATGAACCATCCTATTTTGAATTTGAAAAAGTAAGATCATGAGGATATAAAAGTAAAATACGTTTTTTAATATGTTAACTTATTGTCGCGGCCGTCTTTCAGTTGGGGCTAGAATTGGGCTTCGACTTAAATAAGTGGGTTAGAGTTGTCACTGATCATTTAAAAATAATTTTAGGTTGATGGGACACTATATTACCTGATCTGCGTTTTACCAGAAATGTGTCAGGTTCGAGAGTCGGTTACAGTCACGGAAGGATTAACACCCTTGTATTGTTCTTTCGATACCAATTAATTTTTCGATTGTCTTAATTGCGAAAATTAAAAATTAAAAATTAAAATTAAAATTTAAAAATCCGATTTGATTTGATTACCTTGTTAGATTGTAAAATAAAAATAAATATGACAGAAAAAAAAAGAAAAATATTAATATAATAATAATAATAAAATAAATAACAAAAATAAATAAAAGTTAGTAAAAAAAGAAAAATAAATAAAATAAATAAATAAAAAAGGATCAAAATAAATGATATTGAAAGTTGGCATGTATTAATCCTTAAAAAATCCAAAACACGTCAATTTAAACACAAACAGATGGGTTATTAGCTCATGGGTCCCACAATAGGATATCTCAATTCAACTTACAGCTTGAAGTTGTTCCCCTATCACATCAAGGCTTATGGAGCTTGAAGCCAAAAACTCTTGGGGCATAGTTTTGTATCGGCTTTTGTGGCTTTAGGTGTCCATATGTCATTAAAAATAGATGCGGAAATGGCGTTCCAAAATAAGCTTCATCATATCTCAGCTGCCGATTCAACCAATTCATTCTGTTCTTCAGTGAACATATCACCATGGGACGATTCAACGTCCAATATTAAATCGAGCGCATAGTCATAATACGGAACTTGACTTCTCAACCCACAAAGATTAAAATCGTCCTGGATGTAGTCATCATCAACTTCGCAGAAAAACTCGTTGCCACGCAAATTGCAAAACCACGAAATCCAAGATGGGCCATCTCCATCAGAACCACTGACATCTGATTCTTCACTCTCCGTTTCAGACTCCTCATCACTTTTGGCTTTGGAGAGAGCTGATGAACGTGAATCGCGATGATCAAGCTGGGATTTAGCAATGGAAGTTGAAGGAACACATGATCTTTCTGTCTTTTTTGCTGAAGCCCCTCGAAGTGGATAGGGACGACTTCTCTAGATGCTTGTCCAGCGCATTCCGATCCAACAGTTCTCCAACTAGCTCCGGTTTCGAAGACTCTCCTCCTCGATCCCTATGACTGTACATAGCTTGTTATTATTATTAAAAAAAATACCACCAAAAGCCTGAAAGGTACGAGCTTCTTTTGCTGTCAATGGGGTAAAAAATCAAGCTTTTTGGAGGCGCAATGCATTGTGGAGGGAGTGAGAACGAGACGAAACTCCATGATTGAGAAATAAGGAGGATTAAAGGTGGAAGGAGGAAATGGCGGCCGTTTACCTGGAGAATCGGATAAAGATGACAGCTAAAAGAAAGAGGTATAGGGCTGAAGGGGTTGATAGAAGATGAAAAACTATGGTTTCTGAATAAGAAGGAGAGAAACACGAGCTCCTCAAGGTGATCTCCCAGTGTCCCCCCTTTTTCAGAATCGAAGGTGAGTCCCCTTTAAAGGAAGCGCTTCAAGATTTTTTAAATCCAATCCCCTTTGTGCTTCGACGTGCCTTTTCTTCCGCTTGGAGGAAAACCGACTGAAAACCTCACTCCCACTTCCCCCAGCAAAAATGTGAGTGATGAGATCATGGGGTTTCCCACGAAGAGAAACGGTTTAGATACGTGGGGTTCAACATGGGGTGTACAAAATAATTGTAATATATAAATTAATAATAAAAAATAAAATAATAATAATATAATATTTTTGTAGATCCGGATAAAAACAGATGTCAATACTTATATTTATTAGAAAATATCTAAAATTTATATAGTTGATATTTTGTGTATGGATTTTTTTTAAAGTATAATTATAATATATTTATTCACCAAATAAAATATTATCAATAACATCTTGTCACATGCATACATGATAAATACATTCATGTTTATCATAAGCAAAATATAACGGTGATCGACCGGTGACCGACCAGTGACAGCCTGATGAGTAAGAGCGTGAACAATTGAGGTAACGTCATATAAATATGGATCACTCCGACATCCCAAAGCATCAGAAAACCTGAAGAATATTCAAAGTAAATGAATGAAAAATAATCCTCCTTTAACCACAGTCACGTCTGATACATATATTCGAGAACCAACAGAATGTCATATGCAAACAAACAAAGAAACCAGAAATCGGAAAAACAAGCAATAATGAAATCTTGAAGAATCATAGACCAAAAAGATCAATGGAAGAAACCTGCACCCGGCGTCCAAAAACACTGATAGCCATGATACCCTTTACTAGATGAAGGGCCAAGAGAAAACATTATTTAAATACGTTAAAATATAACTAAAAATTAATAAAATCAATCAGTAATCAACCAAAGTAAATAAAAATGACAGGAAAGTGATCGGAGGAAACCACCACCGCTACCTTTGATGAAAAGTAAATATAATAATGTATTTATATAATAAATTATCATGATTTTAAGAAAGAAATTGTTCAATATTACTCTTTTTTTTGGAAGGATACAAAACTAAGAGAACAAAAAAAAAAGGGAAATAATTATAGTATGTGAAATATGGAGAAGGAAACTTCCTTTTTATAAAAAATAAAAGAGTAAAAACATTTTTTAATAGATTAAGATATTTATAAGGGAATATACGTTCAGATTGATAACGTAAACACGTAACTACTTGAAACTAAAACCTCTCATTAAAACTAAAACTTTTAAGAAGAATGACACTCCTTAACTATTTATACCACTTTATGAATTCACAAAAGAGTTAAAATATTAAAAAAGAAGGTGAGTGGTAGAAATTATTCTCTCCATTTCATCACCAATATAATTTTACAGTATTATATTTTTTAAAAAATCTGATTTTCTTTGCATTATCTATTATACAAAGTATTAACTTAAAAAAAACTGAACTAACATTCTGAGTTGCACTAAATTGGGTTTGAGAGAGCTAATTAGAACTAATTAATTCCTTGTCTTTAAAATATTATTTTTACATTAAATCATATAATATGCAGCAAATGAAGATAAAAAAGCATATATATTATAACAAAAATCCATGCTATAACATACGTAGTACCAATAGATATCTTCTCATTTTCGATGAAATTAAACAGATGAGATTAAACGATGTTCTGTTTGGAGATTAAATTAATTTAAGGTTTGTTTTTCTGATTCTATCACAAGCCCAACAAATTCATTCATACCCAAATTTTAGTTTAATAGCAAATGCTTGTTATTTATCCAAAATAACGTAAACAAGTTCACATAAATTATTCTAGCTTCCCTGATATATATGTATCCATAATTATCTTCTGTGCCAAAGAGAATCCATGGCTGAATCTTCAATCGCAATTGAGAAAAGCAAACATGACCCCGCTGCTCAATTCTTCCTCTATCTTTCCGTCATAATTTCGGCACTTTTGCTTCTTTACTTATTCCTGCTTTTCCTTCGGAGCTCCACTCCATGTTCACCCAAGAGAGGTTTCCGTTTCGGAGCTCGACGTATCGGATCGGAAATTAACACTCAACTTGAGCACTGCATTTTCCGTTCGCAACCCCAACGAAGCCTTCACGGTGATAATCAAGTCCAACCAAGGCACATTGTATTCCAAGAACATCGAACCATTGGCCGCTGCTACGGTTTCGACTTCATTCGGCTTGAAAGCGGGTGGAGCAGTGATCGGAAGGTTGCGATTTCGAGCGGGAATATGTCCGAGGATTTGAAAACTGGGGTGGTTCAGTTTTGGGTGAATATGAGAATCATGGTGGTGTATGAGGCATGGCCATTATCCTGGAATTCGGATACGGTGTTAATGTGCGGAGGGCTAAACGTTGTGTTTAATAATAAAACGGGGTCCGGAAAATTGATTATCCGCCTCCCAACAATTGTTTCGGCATGTTTTGTTTTAAATTGTCTGCCATTTGTGTATCAAAATTCAATGATTATACGAGTAAATAAGGACTATTTTAGAGTGTTGAGACATAGTATTCAATTATAAGATAAATATAATCATTCAAATTAAGAAAGAAA